GGTGTCTGGCTGGGGTGTCTGGCTGGTGTGTCTGCCTGGGTGGTGGGGTGCAGTATTTCAGTCCAAAGTGCAAGAGCAGAGTCCCCCGTGAGCCACGGGCGCAAAAAAAAAACTGTTCTGCCGTTTCCCGTAATGCATCAGGAAGCTGTGGCCCCGAGCCGTGCGTGATAAACGTGCGTGAGTGAGTGTATGTGTGCGTGTGAGTGAGTGTATGTGTGCGTGTGAGTGAGTGTGTATGTGTGCGTGTGAGCGAGTGAGTGTGTATGTGTGCATGTGAGCGAGTGTGTATGTGCGCGTGCGTGCGCGCGCCTAAGGGAGCGCTGTCGGTGTGGTTTGCTCTCTGGGCTATGATCCCAGTGACCCAGCTTCAATTCCCGGCCAGTGACAACACCGGTGTGGGAAATCGGAATTCGAACCCTGCGGTTGGTCTCCCACTAGGGTAGACTCGGCCTAAATTTACATTGACATTTTTTCACGACGGCAGTTCGCCGTCATGAAAAGTACGACACAAAGGCGGACAGATTTATGCGATGAAGGCCATCCCACCTGCTTGTGCCACGCCGACCTCAACAATAATAGGCGCTCGTGAACAGTAACTGGCCCCCCCTGATGTGCAAGCGGATAAGGTGGCATGTTTGTCGTCAGTTTTGCATGCGGGTCACTTTCCGGCGATGTTTATAACGCTCCGTCAAAAAACAACAACCACCACCACCAGCCCCCACCCCGTGCTGTGACTTATCCGACGTGCCCACATTCCCGGTATCCGCGGGGCATTTTGACATTTTTCAGGAAGCGGAATCTCTCTCCGCCGCTGGCACCCCAGGGGCGGGCGGGCGAGAGGGCCGTCGCTGTTGTTGGGGGCAGGGGAGGGGCAGGCCGCGGGGGGGGGGGGGGAATTGACCCCGACATGAACTCCGATGACAGTGCGCTGCCTATAAATAAACATGTGCCAGTCAGGTGCGCGATCTGGCCCGCCACATTTCAGGCTAAGTCGACCTACGCGAGTTGTACAACAGCAGCAGCCGCCTTTTACCAATAAGTGGCGATTGCTTGTGTCGAGCGGGATTCTCTTTGAGGCCTCATCAAGCGGTGAACGTTCGCTGGGCAAGAGGTCAGGGCACATACTCAGGTGTTATGAGTTGACCGACTGAGATGATTGGCACCGCCTGTGCCCCCTGCCGTGCCACCTCGCTGTATTTTAGGCTCTCCGCTCGTTGTTGTGAGCGTCGCTCCTCTGCCCTTCATTGTTGCTGGAGGGCGACTGGCTCCAACTGCCCAGTAGCAGCAGCGTCCTTCACGAGCCTCCTCCGCAGAGGCCGATCTTGACACCGCTGGTACAGGTCATCGGCAAGGCCAATCAGCTCCACAACTTCCTGTACCGCATCGGCTCCATCTCTTCCTTAGCCCGTGCCGTGCCCCTGTAACCCCCTCTATCAGGCCAAACAGGCTACTTGAGTAAGCGGTGGCCGGGCAGGCAGGCTACATGACCCAGCCAATGCAGCCTTCCTTGCCGGAGGAGCTCACCGATGATGGGATCGTGCCCAAATGTGGACACAGAGACACACACACGCGCGCACACAAATACGTACATACGCATGTGTGCCGCGTGCATTACCCAGGTTGTATTTGAACCCCCACCGCTGCTGTTACCTGGGCGTCTTCGCTAAGCAAACCTCGCTCTGCCAACAGCATCAGGTGTGGGTAGCGATACCCAGGCCTGGATAGTTTAGGCTGAGCCATGGTCAGGTGACATTGACCTCAGGTTTACGATGGTTATTTTGCACGCGCGTGTGTTTGTGTGTGAGGAGCAGTTAGCCAACAACAGTGACGATTATCTGAACCGGTCCTGAGCCTCCCCTAGGTCGACTCAGCCTCAAATGAGTACCTGGTGCGGTGTGTAAACATCGCCACTGGGGAGACAAAGGCGGTCGGGCGTGCTGCTGGCCACCCACCCCCTCGTGTACCGTTCCGGCCTTCATAGGTGATCGCTAACAGCACTTGCCCCTATAGTCTGTTAAGGCTATACGGGGGATATTTGTCTTTTGTGTGTGTGTACAAATGACCAAGGTCACCCCCACACTATCACTAACCCTCACGGCCCTTCGATGCCACAATCAAACCCAAAGCTGTAGCCGGGTGTGGTGGCAAGTGTTGGTGGATCACGCAGAGATTTGCGAAACTCCCAAACCCATTCGGCTGCGAGGTGGTGGCCGCTAGGATGTTGACAGAACGTCAGGAAAGTCCGGGAGCCCGGTCCACGTGGAACTTTGATGGTTATCTGTTTGTACGTGTGCTCACTTCTCTCCGAGTACTCCCATATAATGCACTTGTCATGTCTGCGTTCCCTGCCTTCAACCCACGCTAACCAGCGTGGCGAAGTATGGTCGCACAACCGCCACGGCACCTGCGCAGACGCGGGGAGACCCTCGCATTTTCACTGACTTCCTCCCGCCCCAAACACGGCTCTCGCTCGATAAAATAACTTGGCCAAAAAATCCCACTGTGGCAGGATCCTCCCGAGAGCGAGTCTTGAGACTCGTTGACGCTTTCCTGGGTAAATAAATTACATTCCTCAGGATTAAGTAGGAACTGAAGCTCGCACTGTTGATAACTTATAGGCCAGTGAATCTGTGTGAGAGCTACGGGGCAATAGAGGGCATTGGCTAAACGCGTATCGACGATAACTTTGCGTTGCTAAGCCATTGATCGGTGCCTGTTATCGCGGAGGCGATGATGGTGTCACGTTTTCGGGGCGAATGCTTCGCTCAGACGTGCGCTATTGTATGTACGTTGAACTTTTTTCGCATCGTACGTAGCCAACCGTGCTAATCGGAGGTGTGTGGGAAGGACAACAAACTAAACACATGAAGCAGTTCTAAAGGAGTGATTTTAAATCTAGATTTAAAAGTGCAGAGCTCCTGTGCCTTCCAAATATCGGAAGAAAGAGCATTCCAGATGGCCGCAGAAGCGCATCCGAAAACGCGCGATGCAGTGACCATCTTAATTCGATGATGACCAGAGTTCGCGTGATGGCTATTGACCGGCCGGCGAGCAACAAGGCCATAAGTTCGACTCCCGATGGTAATTCCCGCAGAGGGAGCCGGGCGGGGGGGGGGGAAAGTGGTGGAATTTTCCATAGTTCTCATCTACTGGTGCACGTGGCTGCGTCAAAGTGTCCGGGCCTCCTGTCAGCGGGCGCGCTCGCAGCAGAAACGAGAGAGGCCCGTGCACATTGGCGGCGCGTGTCGTTCTGGTCGCAGGCCACACGCAGGCTTTCACCGAGTGCAAACTCATCGCGGCAATGATTGACGAAGCCAGAAACTGACGTTGACCGCGGTAGGAGGTGGGTCGGCGTGGCGGGGGCAGAACGTTGGCTCGGCAGAAATGCTGTACGTCCGAAACATTAGGGGGAATAGTTTCTCGGGATGCGGCCGAATTTGGCTGGTTGTTGGGGTCGTGGCGAATACTGTGGTGACCGTCGTGGTGATCGTGGCGGCAGCGTGGTGGTGGACATGATGGTGGAGGTGATGGTAGTGTGATGGTGGTCATTAGGGTAGTTGGTGGAGGTGATGGGCAGTAGGGAGGATGATGTTGATTATCGTGGTCATATATAATGTCGTTGTGGTGTTGGCAATGGTAAGAGGCTGGTGATGACGATAGCGATTATGATGGTGGTGTTGGTGACAGCAGAGAATGGTGGTACATTGGTTAGCACACTCCATTATGACCCCAGTGACCCGAGTTCAGTCTCCATCCATAACTAACATTCGTGGAAAGTGGCATTAGAACTCATCCTGAGCCGCCACTTATGTTGACCTGGCCTTAAATGAATAACTGGAATGTTCTGTGAACGTGAGCACGAGCAAGTCAAAGCCACGTAGGCATGGTGCTAACGACACCACCCATTCGTGTCCTACGCCAGCCTTAATAGGCGCTCACGAACAGCAGTCGGCCCAACACTATGGATACACGGGCAGGGATCTTTGCCTGTGATATTGGTGATATTATTGACGACGATGTTGTATGTATGTTGAATTTCTTTTGGGGGGGAAGGACAGCAAACTAAACACAAAAAGCAGTTCTATGGAATTTCCTTTTCAGTCGTTATGTTAAAGTGCACAGCTCCGGCGGCTTCCTAATACCGGAAGGAAGAGCGTTCCAAACAGCCGCAGGTGCGCATCTGAAAGCGCACGATGCAAGTGACCGGCGGCCAGCCAAAATCCGGTGCTGCGACGATGCCGATGGTGGCCGTGTGTTGCTCCATCGCCAGTGCTCATCGCTGCGATCAGACCGCGCGGTGGAGCACTGGTGGATAAGCGTGGTTGCCGTTTGTTTTTGTTCATCTGAAATTTGCGCGCCGCTTGCAGCTCGGTGGCGAATCGATGGCGGTGGAGCCGCGTGCCGGGGCGCGCTGGGGCACGGTGGGGGGGGGGGGGGTGGCGAGCGGCGATGCTTTCCGCGCTTCTCGCGAACGCGCGCCGGTCGCGCTGCTCGTGCGGTTTCCCGCGTGGCAATCGTCTCTAGCGGAGGCGGAAACGGTGCGTCGATCCACCTCTCGGGTAATCGATCATTTTGACTCGAGCGGCGTCAATCAGTGGTTAGCCGCGACGTGCCGTCAACCTCCCACATTCGGTTTCGGTTCGACTCCCAGCCGTGGCTGACGGCAGTGACGAGTGATATCCGAACCGGTAGCCCCCTTGGTCTATCCCACGCGGTGCAGTACGGTCAGACACTCCCATGACCAGAATGTAGCGTGGAGAGGCCTTTATCAAGGAGTGGATTGACAAAGGGCCGTTACATTGCCAACGATTTGCTCATTTTACATGCAAAGTGAACTGTGCAAGCAAGCAATGGGAATTGCAACAATACAAACGGGGTGGTAAAAACTAAACCCAAATATATTTTGTCTTCAATTGTAACCATGAAGTGTAACAATTCATATACCATGGTAGATGTGTGTGTGCACCAACTAATCCACCATGATATACTGCGGTGTGCAGGCCGAGGGCATCAGCTACACGCCGCCACTGAGTCCGCTGCCGGCGCCGGGCAGCGCACGGACACAGCCCAGCCTCCGGCTCAGCATGGCGCCCAAGGAGGCCGGCCGCATCCCACTCAACCTCGGTGGGGCTCTCTCTCCCTCTCTCCCTATCTGTGTTGGGCACTCTATAAAAACACAGATCGGCCTCGTTATCAGCATCACCTCGGGCTCGTGTCAGCTAACGTTCGACCTTGTTCGACCTTGTTCGACCTTGTTCGTTGGTTTGTTTTTAAAACGCGGTCGTCGCTTCCCTCCCACCTCCAAGTGACAGGGAGGAGGACGGGGGCAGGTGGGGGAGTGTCGCTGCAGGGGCACGGCGCTCGTGGTGTCGGGTGATTCCAGGAACTGCCTGGCACGGCTTGCCTCTGTTTGCCAGGGGTCGTGGAAAGGCACCATTTTTCTCTCCTCCGGTCGTACTTTTGGTTGAGAAGCCGCTAAGCTACGCGGCAAACGCAACCGCGCGTAACTCGGCTGTCCATCCGGCCCAATTAGTGCCAATTAGATGAGCAAGGGGATGATGGGCGAGTGACATCGCGTGGGGTGGACCCCATGTGACCTTTCGTGCCTTGTTCGTCATTTGCCCACGCTGCGACAAAGCGAAGTGAAGCGCGGAGGTCAGGTTGATCTGTTGACTTATCCCAGGGCTTCCAAAAGAGCTCCGGCCCTGGTTCCCATCAGAGGCCGCCCCTCCGTGCGTACAAATCTCCCGCGTTCCAATGCACAAAGAACCGTTGCTTGAACGACCGCATGCTACGCTCATTAATTGATCAGGCAAGCTAGTTGAGGTCATCATCGACTGCAAACAGAGACTCGGATTCAGCGTGGACCCTACGGCTGTGACTATTTACTCACCCCCGGCGGATCGGTGAATTGTCGCGTTCCAGGACCGCGATTCAATTGACATAATTGAGACTTTTTGTTTGTTTGTCTCATACATTTTGCTGTGGCATTTGTTCAGCTTCGTTGGGTACAACACGTGGGATCTGTGTGGTGTGATAGTGCATAAAACTGGCACAGTATACGGAAATGGCAGTGAAGTCAACGATATAATGTGTGGGGGGGAAAAAAAACAGTAAGTGGAATTGAAAGAGAGAAGAATTGGAAATAAGAAGAAACAGTTGGAAAGGGGAACGGAGAAGCGGGACTAAAGGGTCAGGATTGCGCAAAAGGGTAGGGAGGCCGGGACGGAAGTCCCAGAGACGGACAAAGATGAGGGCACGGAATATTTCGATTTAAAGCTTCCGTGACTGCAGGGATTCATCTTCTTGGTTCTTTCGGTAAAGTCACGTAGAAGGGGGGGGGGGAAAAGATAGAAAAAAATTCAAAATATTCATTTTATTAAGTTTTTTGGGTATTATTTTATTATTTTATTATTTTATTATTTCCCTTCTACGTGACTTTACCGAAAGAACCAAGAAGAGGAGGGCACGGCTCAAGATGAACGGCAAACAGAGAGGAGGAGCACTGGGCAAGTATCTGCCGGGAAATTAAAACTCTGGCACAAGCGATGACACAAATGCCCGCTGCGTTCCCATGACAGCCGCCCACCCATTCATGTGGAGCAAAGAGGACGTGGCTCAGTGGCTGCGCTGGGCCGAGGAGGAGTTATCTCTGCGAGCGGTCGACTCGGGGCAGTTCGAGATGAACGGCAAGGCGTTGTGCCTGCTCACCAAGGACGACTTCCGCTACCGCTCCGCCAGCGCTGGTGAGTTGTCGGCGAGCAACGCGACCGCGTGGGTTCTCGCCGTCGAGCTGTACGGCTCTGGGACGGATGCGACTTTGGGGCGTAGCGTGCTTTGTTCGGCACGACGTACGTCCGACGTTCCGCTTACCCGCGTGCTGGGAACGACTTTGGGGACTTGTCGTCAAGCCGCTCACGTTCTCCGTCAATCTTGCCACGGCATTGCCGGATGCCGAATTCGGTCAAACGTTTCTCTTCCCCTTTCTTCCCTCGCGCTGCTCTGCTTTGGGAATTCCGCCCCCCTCCTCCCACCCACCGTCTGCTTTCCCACGGTTCTTGGAAAAGCTCTCGCTTGACTCGGGAAACGTACCAACTCGTATCGATTGCACCTTCAACAGCCTCGCTGTTTGTTGCCGGCCGCTTGGCGTTTGGGCCCCCGAGGCCGGCGTCCGTGATTCGAAACGATCGGCTCGGCCACTCTGGTCGCAGGCAAAAACGTGATGTACGCAACGTACCTTAAACTTCTTTCGCACCGTACGTGGCGCACCGTATGCGGCGCGCCGCGCTAATCAGAGGTGCGGGGAAAGGGCAACGCGTGGGGCGGCGTTGCGAAAAGTTCGGTCAGCGGGGGAGCGAACGGGGGCCGAACCTTGGCCCCAGGCGGCCGAACGTCCGAACAGACAGCGCCGTGTCCCCCCGCCTGGGTGAGTGACACCGTGTGGTGCCCTGCAGGTGACGTCCTGTACGAGCTGCTGCAGAGAATACTGGCCAAGTCCAAGTGTCAGCCGTGGAGCACCCTGCAGCTCTGCTTTACAGGTGACAAAAAAAAACAAAGATCCGCCTTCCACCACGCCCGCTTGTCGCCTTTAACAGACACGTGACATTTCAGAGGAATGATCCAGTATTAAACCGTGAACCGATCGCTTTCTGCCAAACGGCATCTTGGCCGGAACGCAGATTCTTCGCCGCAGCCCTCGCAGCGCTTCACCGTCCTCAAGGACTCTCCCGTGGGCACGCCGCGGCCTTCTCCGCAGTACCGGGCGGCTTCCAACGGCACCGGCGGCGGAGGAGACGCCGCCGCCGCCACGGGCGCCGGCGGGACGCCGCGCGCCAGCCCCGACGACGCCGTCACGCGTGCCCCCCCACAGCCGTCGTCGCACCGAGACGGCAACTGCCGCCCCGTTGTGTTTTCATCGCCGCGGCCCGACCCCCATCCCCTCCAGCTCCACATCCACCAAAACCACCACCAGCAGCAGCTGTACAAGCAGCAGCATCATTACCAGCAGCAACAGCAGCAGCAGCTGCAGCAGCAGCAGCAGCAACGCCTGCTGGGCCCGGTGCATGCCGTGCGCTTCGCGGGAGCAGACAGCGAGGAACAGCCGCTCAACCTGTCCCACCAGCCACAGGAGGCCTCCTCGTCCGACCAGCCGATAGGCCGCATTGCAGGTATCGTCTCGACAGCAACGTCACAGCAACGCCACAGCAACGCCACTGAAAGCCCCGTTTAAAACGTGTACACACAGCGCACACAACACAGATACCACAGACAGACCCCCACCCCTTCCCGAATCGCCCTCGAAAAACTGTTGGGCAAGTGTTCATGACTTGGTGTCGCCAGGTCGATGGTCCCCTTACCGCTCTACGCCGGCACACACACACGCACGGCGCACACACACACACACAGCACGCACACACACACGGCGCACACACACACGCGCACACACACACGGCGCACACACACACACGCGCACACACACACACAGCGCACACGTGGCACTACCTTTCAAACGCTCCGCTGCCCTCCTCCTCCTCCGCGGCGTGCCAGACTGCCGCCTGCTGTGGGACTACGTGTACCACCTGCTGTCGGACTACCGCTACGAGAGCTACATCCGCTGGGAGGACCGCGAGCTGCGCGTCTTCCGCATTGTGGAGCCTAACGGGCTGGCGAAGCTGTGGGGGATGCACAAGGCAAGAGGGTGGTCCTCGTGCCCGCCGGGGCTTCGGATGAACGCGGGGGGGGGGGGGGAGGGCGGTTTAGGGGGTCTGCGGCCTTGGAGGCCCTGGGATTTTGAGGGCCCCGAAAGACGGGTACTCCGCCACCACGCAGAACCGCTTTTGTGTTTAGTTTGTTGTCTTCCCCCCCCACCCCACACCTCCGATTATCACGGTTGCCTACGTACGGTGCGAAGGAAGATCAACGTACACACACACAAAGCACCGTTGGATGAATGCCTCTCCATGCCGCTGGTCACGGAGGTTTGTGGGACCAGGGCTTTGAAGCGCTCAGTGCGGGTCCGTGCAGGAAGGCCCACGACCAGTTCAGGTATCGCTCACTCGCCGCCGCAGTTAGCCGGGACTGGATATTGAACTCAGGTCGCTGGGTTCGCAGTGTAGCGCACTAACCACTGCGCCATCGCTCCTCCCCATTCAGCATATATATTCCAAAAACATATTAAATGTGTATATATGAACCTTATGGCGGGACCCCGGGGACCCATAAGCCCCCAGCTCTCGCATAAACTGCGTTGCGACGTCATTTTATGTCTGTTGAAGGCGAACGACACGGCAGTCTATTCCTCTCGACGAGCGCTACACGATGCGCTAATCAAAGTTTTGTTTATGACGACGGCATTCGTCTTCGCCGCTGCGCTTGGATGACACGACAACAGAACGATCCGCGCCAGGTGGGTCATGGCGTTTATGTGCGCGGTGACGGGGATGATGGGCGAGTGACATCGCGTGGGGTGGACCCCATGGAACCTTTCGTGCCTTGTTCGTCAGTTGCCCACGCTGCGACAAAGCGAAGTGAAGAGTCGCCAAAAACAAATAAATGAATTACGATTTTGACTCGGGGTCCCGCCATAAGGTTCATATCCAACTTTATAGGAGTTGAACACCATATTTTTAGCGTGGTAAATCCTAAAGTGCCATTGGGTAATGGATTCCTTCGCGTCGCTTACGTGTTTTACTTCCAGTTAGGTGCCGACATCAAAATAGGTGCGCGATGGTAGATCGTATTTAAAAACTGAAATAACCAAGGTGAATAACAGAGGTGGCGTTTTGGCATTGGGCATAGGTGGTGGTGAAACGGCCGTCACCACCGTCATCACAACTCCGGCTGTCGCCTGATGAGACTGGTTGTTGTAATTACCGCGAAACCGGCGAAACCTCACAGTACTGGAATTGTAAATGTTGTCGTGAGTTTACTCTCCAACACACAAGCGGTGTGCTGAACTCGTCACGAATTTGCACGTTTTGTTTATGTGACAAAGCTCACTGATTGTCTGTGTCGGGTGGTGGCGGGGTTGAACAACACATTAATATTTACGAAAAAACCTCTTATGGATAACATTGGTCGCGAAAGCCGACTACGTGTTAAACTGAACGTCGTCGTCATCATCATCAGCCACGGTCAATCCACCACACTGCCGAATGCGCGGGTTGTCGACGGGAGAGACCAGGTAGCACCCGCCGCTCACGGCAGCGGACGTCGTGGAAGCTCGTGCCGCCGGGTTCATCGCGCAAAAATTCACGAGCCGCTGAGCCACCATCGCCGCCGTCTCCTGCGCTCCGTAATATTAGTTATACTGCACGTACACCGTGCGAGGTTCTGCTTCGTAACGGAGGTCACCTCAACGGGTTAAAGACGTGCGGGGCGAGTCGCTCTGACAATGGGCCGAGAGCAGGCGAAGTGCGGAGAAAACGTGTCGGCCTGAGCGGTTCGACACGCGAGCGGTCTCGGGCCTTCGTCTGTGCGAGGTGCCTCCCAGTGGGTGCAGCAGTGAGCGCAGATGATACCCCCTGCTGATAAAATGCGACCGCGGTTAACGTGAAACGAGCGCGATTATACCCAGCAGTTAATTTGCGCTCTTGCTAAGCAGTGGGAATGGATCAGGGCCTGGCTGAGACTAGGCTGAGTGGGCCTTACCTGGTAAAATACAAATAGCTTCGAGTTTTAGTTTATAGATTCCATGCTGCTATGAAAAAAATACTCACATTCGTCAATAACACTGTGGCCTATAAAGAGAAAATATAAATAATAGGTGACATTCTGGGTAATGGGCCATTTTTATAGCACATGTAGGGCTATGAACAATGTTCATTGCACATGTCACCTGTTATATATTTTGTCTTTAAAGGCAGCGTTGACGAATGTGTGGAGTTTTGTTATTTGTGCTTGTGCAGCAGCATCGCCACACAATTAACAATTTGCAATAAAAATACATTAATTCAATATATTTTTTCAAATGTGAAATACCGGATTAAGTGAACAACAAAAAAATCTCCGCGCAGCCCCGTCAAATCGAACCGAAATCTGCGATTTCCATTGCAGTCCACTTTGACATTACCGCAAAGTCTCTTGGGGTTCACCGCTTTGGGTGGGAAAGAGCAAAAGGCGAATCTAAATAGTCTCTCGCTTGGTCTCGATGTTCCTGCAGAACCGGGTGAACATGACGTACGAGAAAATGTCACGAGCGCTGAGACACTACTACAAGCTCAACATCATCAAGAAGGAGCCCGGCCAAAAGATGCTCTTTAGGTACCGGACGCGCACACACACACACACACGTGCACACATCCAAAAGACAAAGATCCCCCATATAGCCTAAACAGACTTTTGGCAACTGCTGCTGTTAGAAAGAAGCTTTCGGTGCTTGCCCGCACACACGCTTCAATGTCACTTGAACCACCAGCAAATGAGGAAAAGCCAGAACCATTCACCAAATTGATTTTGAGTTGCACCTCTAGGCAAGATGTGATGTAATCTGTGAATCCAGCAGACACGCAAATAGTATGTACGTTGAACTTCTTTCGCACCGTGCATAGCCAACCAGAAGGTGCGGGGGAAGGACAACAAACTAAACACATTCCTGCGGAGGGAGCTGGAAGGAACGTTGGGTTGCTAGGTCAATGGCCAGGGTCAACGGCAGCGTGGTGTATTCCGCAAATATGGCCGACTGTGAGGGCACAAGCCGACATGAGTAGGTTAAACGTTGAGTTTTATAAGGGCACCACGGGGTGACCAGCCCCTCCCCACCCAGCCCCACCCCTCCCACCCCCCACCCAGCCCCACCCTCCCACCCCCCACCCAGCCCCACCCTCCCACCCCCCACCCAGCCCCACCCTCCCACCCAGCCCCACCCTCCCCACCCTCCCTACCCAGCTTCTCCCCACCCTCCCCTCTCCACCCAGCCCCACCCCTCCCATTTTTGGATACACGACGGACGGACACAATAATCCTCTGTGGGCTGGTGGAACCAGGTGGTTCCTACCAGTAAAAGCAGTTGTGTGGTGAGTGTCCATTGCCTGCGCTGGCTACGAGGTGGATAATTGGCAGTGCAAATCTCTGCACCGATGGATTCTTGAATCTACCTGCTGGTGTGATTGGGTTTCACTTGGTGGTTTGTGTGCCAAATGCATATTAATGGAATTGGCCAAACATCCCAATGCAGGGCCCTCCGGACAAAATGTGGCTTTCCTAGATAAAAGGGCACAACCATAATTACTACTTTTCAATGACTCCCATGGAGATCATCCTTAAATTATCATTTACAGTAATTAACTGTGAATGAGAGTTGGTTGGTCGGAGTAATATATCTTGTGTAGCAATTGGTGAATACATTTACATTGTTCACAGTGATCGTTAAACATCGTCATCGTGAACCTCATCATCTCTTCATCAGCTTATCTAACTGCCATGAACAACAATTGCTTGCGCAACCTACTGCGTCCTGATTGACAAGTGGTGAATGCATTTCCGTTGTTAGCACCGGCTGTAAAACATCGTCAACCATCGTCTCTTATTCAGCTGTCACTAACTTTAAAACAGGTCGATCTGTTTTCCCAGGATCATCCTGTTTTGCCATTAGCTGTCTTGGGAATCTGTAAAAGTCTTCCCGGTTAGACCAGAAGTCCCTGTTTTTTGTCAGTTGCATAATCACACTGCTCAAGGCAACGCGTTGACACGTAGCTCTCCCCTTTTCCATGACGATGAGATAATCATTTTGCCGTGACGTGTCCCATTTTGTTTCTGTAGCCAAGAGGTGGTAACCCCCCCACACACATCACAAGCAAACGATCGCTTCTCCACCCAATGCAGCATGAACGACGCCACCGCCTCTGCCCCTCCCAGGTTTCTCAAGAGCCCAGAGGAGATTGTGCAGAGCAAAACCGACAAGCTTGAGCGCATGGAGGCGTGCGAAGCTGATGGCCCCGCCTTCAAGGACGAGGGCGACTCCTTCAAGGACGAGGGCGACTCCTTCAAGGACGAGGGCGACTGGTGAGGGGGCGACGACTCGGCGGGGGAACGGGCTCATCCACGCGGCGACCGGCAGAGATGGGAAAGGCGGCCGGGCGTTGAACACCAGCTTCTGCAGCCTCTTTGCACTCCTTTTTCATCGGCGCATCCCAGCCAAGCCAGCCGCAGGACCTTTCGACGGCACACGGGTGGGTTTCCCGCTGGCTATTTGCCGGGCCAAGCCGGAGCCAAACCGTGGCCCCCCAGGTGAAAACTCTGGCCTCTTAAAGACATCGCAGTGGGGCTCGGGAACGAGCGGGGCCAGGCGTGACGTTGGTCGGTAACACTGCGAGGATGCAACGTCACCACGTCACCATGTCGTCTCGGACTTGCTCGTTGCGCGGCTCGGCCTCCGCAGTGGAAAAACGACCTGGTGCCTCCAAAGCTGTGCCGAGTTGGCTCAGCGTCGCACCACCAGCAACGACTCGGTTGTGCAGTGGAAAAAGAGGTGTAGGGTTAGCATTGTGAAAACATATCTCCCTTTTCTATTCCAGTACTCTTATTATTATTTCATCACTTCCACACAGGTGCTGTTGGATGTGCCTTAAGTGCGGTGCTCACTTGGGGAAAACGAGTTTCCGCTGACCTCTGCGCGCCTGGCTCTCTAGGCGGTAACTCTCGCGAAAAAAAACTGTTTTTACCGAGAGCTGAAGACAATTCTTCGCAGCCTGCGTTGTGCGACATCCGGAGAGCCCTGGCGGCGGTGGACGTCCGTGCCTATCATCGACGGGACGAGAAAACCAAACGGGCTCAAGACGCAATGAGCCACCTCACCAGGGCCAGTGCGCCAACGACACTTGTACATCGCGGATTCACGGAGACATACGATTGTGTTGGGAATTTTTAAAAAGCGCTCTTCACCGTTAACCCTCAAACGAACACAAAAAAGACACAAACCACGCACTGACGAAAAATCAGAAGATGCGAAACTTCTGATTAAAACCCCCGTCAAAAGCTTTGAGCTGTTGGGGAAACTGCAGAGTGGATTGGTACGAAGTTAAAAAACAAAAGGACACGGCTGGCGTTTCTGTCGTCACAAACAGCAACAACCATCAAACGTTTCTTGTACACACGGACTTTAGTTTGTTGAGGAACTGCTTTCGGTTCTTCTATACACACGTTGGTCAAAATATTGCACGGTTTTTTTTTATCAGAGTGCACTGTGTATTTGTGCAAATGACATTGAACAGAAAACAACCATTGTGCCTAACTTTATTGTTGTTTGTTTGGGGGTTACGGGTTCGCAAGGTACTGTTATATCGCAGGATTAAAATGTACTTGATGTTTCTCGCTTAAGTCAACGTCTTATGATGAAACCGCGGCACGACGAGGGTGTGTAATAATTTTCCTGGTGGCGGGTTTGATTCTGAGAATAGCCGTGCGAAAAGCATTAATAATGAATTACTGCGTGCATTGCAATTGGACGTTTTAAAGGCATTTGGAAGATTCAAAGGGGCGGTTCACAATATTTACACCATTATTATTTTTCTAAAGGCAACAACAAGACGAGGCGCGCGCTAACGAACACGACCCAGCCGTGCCGGTTAAGATGCTGTTTGTGCAACGCTGCCCAGTGTAGCGCCGTGCTGAAACTGTGCAAGCACTCGGGCAGATGCACAAGTCGCTGACAACACACACCGAACGCTTTCCCCCTCTGCTCTTTCTTGCAAGGACAATGATTGTATCGGTGCTGGGCAAGGTGGCTCAGTTTGGGGGTTGAACTATACGTGAACGAGTTCCTGTGTTGTAAATATAGAAACTGTTTTTATCGACTTACGTTTTATTTTTTTGTGCAGACTTTATATTGTTATTTATGCTTTGGTAGCGGATGGGGGTTGTTAAAGAGTTGATTTTTTTCCCAGTTCCTTTTTTTTTGGTTCATGTTGTTTCCAAATTATTATATATATAAAAAAAATCCGATGATGACACTGGATCCATTGTAAAGAGTCACTGCGTCCTCTAAGTTTCTCACACTTCCGTGTTACACCGCTCCGCCCCCCTTCCCGTGTCTGCGCCCTCACCCCTTGCGCACAGTGAATACGTTCGTGACCAACATCGTTAAAACATTTGAGGCATCAAATAGGCTTGTTACATTACGAGTGAAAACAGAACAACGACAGTGTCACAAGGCAGTTGATGAACAGGCAGGAAGACTTGAGCTCGGTAGGTTTGTGTTTATTGAGTGTCACTTTGACAACAGAGAAACACTTTTAATATTTGGTTTGAACGTAACTTTTAATATGATTCATTCCACCGATTAATTTCAAGATGAGTGCATAAGTTAAAAGGGAAAATTACTTCAGAACGCCCGTATCTGCGACCACGCAGGACTTCCGCAGAGGCTGGGATAAAACACGTTTGGGGTTTCCCAGTGCCCGAGTCGAAAGTTCACATCTCCCTGGTTGCTCATTTAGACCCTCGAAAGGGTTATTTTTTAGTGCGCGTACACTGGGGCAAAGTGAACACACGATTCTACATTCCCCACTTTGGATGTTTAGGGGCAGCTGCATGGCCCAACCACAATGGCCTAGCAGTAACACTGACCCACCAGCCCAGGTTGCAACAAAGTCACAAAGGATGGGATTCCAAGGGTAACAATTTGTAGAATTTTGCGAGGGAGTTTCCAAAGATATATATATTTTTTAATGAGTAGACCATTAAGCAGCGCCTTCAGTGTTTTATAATCAAACCAAATATTTTACTGAAAGTGCCAAATAACCGCAAAAATAAACAAGCCCACATCGCCACTCTTGTTAATCAGTTTCCCTTTTCACAACAGGCAACAAGTTGGCGATGGACTCTCACCTGGGTTAATAAAAGGCCGTTGACTTTACACGAGCAAGCCTCAATTCTTCGCAAAGACCTTACACTTTCATCCGAGAAAACCCATCAGCCAGTGCGATTGTTCAAAAGGCCTGCGTGCTACGTATATTTGCTCCTCACCGCGCGCGCTTAACCCACTAACTTCACCTCTGCTCAGGCATTCATTGCGTGTCGCTAAATAAAAGGGGGCTGTCAAAACGCACACTCCCGCGGGCAGCTTTGAAGACACCTGTGGTGTGTGGGGCGGGGGGGCGGACGCCACGGGGTCCACGTCGCACGGGGGTGGTCACGTACGGCGGCGTGCGTCCTTAGAGGAAGCGGATTCCTGCGCCAAACTGAATCCCGTCGCAAATCCTACACACGACAACGCACGGAGAGACGCGCACGGTTACACGGTTACACGCCGACAGGTACACACGCTTGTGCACAATGCCACATTCCTGTGTCAGAGCACAGGCTATACTTCAGGCAACCGTCGATGCTTTCCAAACCAAAAGGTGCATCTCAAACTGTGTTGTGTATGGCCTTTTGTTGGATGAGGATTTCCCCAAGGTGTGCAGGTCATAAGGGTCATTTGAATGGACTTAACAATGCTGTGCAGAAATTTGAGCTGTTGATTCTTAAATCCATTTGTGCAAAGCCTGGTTATTGCCTCGCATGCTTACGTTTTTTTTTTCATGCCAGATTACTCCGGTGTTGATTGGGGATGCAGGGAGCGTAGACGTGGGCGCATAGAATTACAGTACAACGGATGTTTGCTGGACTGCCCCATGCTCACTGACTACGGTAGCACCATTGAAATAAATATTTACTTTATCGAATTCCTCCCACACGAAGCCAAACATGATTGATGGAAGTGGCTAAACATCCCAATGGAGCAGTGACCCTCTTTGAAAACATGTCTTGAAACTCAGCGACGCTTTCTGGACACATTTAAGGGTATTTCTGGTGTGATTAAGAATGCAACACATTTTTTCATTCCACGGACTGATATGGGTTCAGCGTGAGAAAACACTCCATGACCAAAATCGTCCAGAATTTGCCCAAGCTGGCCTTTAACGTTAAGCAGGCTGAAGCTGTATACAGGGACTCCTCTACTTACGAACATTCTACTTAGGAACTTTCAGAGAAGCTAATAAATATGTCCATATGTCCAGCTACCTGTCTGGATCGAGAGTCGTAAGTTCAACCACCGCGCAATAGATGGCAGGGGTGGCATCTACAGCTGCAGAACATGCAGAACCAGTGGCATCTACATCTACAGGAAATTATACAACTTTTAAAGCCATTCCCCGTGTTTAGTGTACACGCCGTACATCACGTTTGGAATCGACAAGAGTAAAGTTCGACCTACGAACAAATCTACTGGGGAACAGACCACTGGAACTTAACTCGTTTGTAAGTAGAGGCGTCCCTGTATGTGGCTTTGCTTGAATGGGCGACCACCGCGTGAAATGGGCTACACTGCGGGCAGCAGCGGGAAGTGCGGCAAAAACCCAACGTGCCGCACTCGCCTCCCACATGTGTGCTGCCCGCCTTCGCCAATCCCGCACTGACCAGCGCACGCTGAAGTTCAGTCAATGTAACGCCCGCGACCCGCGACTTGTGGCACGGTCCTCATCCGGCGTTGGATGCACTCCAATCGGTTTTGTTTTATATTGTTTGTTTTCGTCAACTTTGTGACCCCCGCCCCGACAGGATATGTGTGTGTGAAAAAGGGCTTAATAGCTCATCGAATTTCTCCCGGATAAAATAAAGACCCCCGATTCCTACTCTTAGTTCTTTCGGTAAAGTCACGTAGGTAAAAAATTAAATAATAATAACTTATTATGTTATTTTTAATTAAATAAAATATTTTTTTTCCTTTTTTATTAATTTTAATTTAATTTTTTACCTACGTGACTTTACCGAAAGAACTAAGAGCATGAATCCTTGCAGTCACGAAAGCTTCAAATCTAGAACCCCTGATTCCGGATCGCCAAAGGGGACCGGAGGAGCGAGCGCGCGTACACTCGCACTACGTGGAGGGAAAACAACAAAGCCATGTGAACGGCAGCAGTGGTCAGGAGGAGTTGGCCAGGCGACAAAATGCCAGGACACAAAGCAAAGTATGACCAAGATAAGCGGGGGGGTGGGGGTATGAGTTGGGGGGGGGGAGCGAAAAGGAAGTGGTAGTGAAAACGGTTGAACAAATATACCACAGGGAGGAGCAGCAATGTCGAAACGCCTTCTTTCTTGTCACCACGCTTCTCGAGGTGAACTTTAGAAGCTAAAGTTTAAACAAAGTATTAAGAAAAAGTAGAAGAAAAAAAACTCGAAAGGGAAGCTAAGGGATTAGAAGCACTCCAAGCTCGCCGTTGCGTTATTGCCGCTCACGGCACGGACACACGTCGTGGTCGATGAATGAGAGGGCTCTCTATTTGTTTTCGTCAAAACATTCCACTGTGGCAGCTCTCCGACGTGTTGCCGGGTTGCAACGAGCGTTGGGACGAAACCCCCCCCAGCGAAACGTCGGACATGATGCTCACACAGCCCGAGAACACACGGGAGAAGTATTCGCAGCACAATCGCGAAAAAACATCAGCGGTCGAGGGATCCGTCGAGATGATGCTTGTTTTTTTTCGTTCGTGGCGCAAAAGGCGACGAGTTACGCAAACCGGACCTTTAGCAGCAGGAAAAGCAAGTTGAAGTTTAACTTTTTTTTTACTGTGACCTGCAACTCAAGAGGCCACTCGGCACACCCAACCCCCCCCCTCTACACTCACAGAGAGCGCGTGCGGAGGAGGAGAGCGGCGGGAGTGGTGGGGTGGGGATGGCGGAGGAGGTGAGATTCGGAGGCGGCGGGGTTGGGGAGAGGAAAAAATCCACTCTCCTCCCCCGTTCCTCTCCCAGCCACCCCCTCCCACCATCACCACCTCCTGCACCGACCTCCACCCCCCCACCACAGCACAAACAGCCCTTCCCAGAAACGGCACGTCGTGTACAGAGGAGGAAAGGGCAATGGCGTCAAGGCCACTTGTCAGATATGGCCGCGAGCCAAGCTGCCGCCACTGCCAAGTCAGGTCTGGGTGGCACGGCAACGAGTTTAGAAGTCCCCGGATTGGACCGCCAAAGAGGGCCCCTGTTTGGCGATCCCGTTGGTCCCAATAAATCGGGAGGTTTTAAAAAAAGTCGCCGGAGCAACGTGGACATAGTGCCCACCACGACGGGAGTAGTTCCACGTCGCTTATCCGACTCGCTGGGGGACCGAGAGGCACTTAGGCGGCGGACACGTGAGCATTTACAGGAAATGACAGTCACACCGAGCACAAATTGCTCTTATCATGGGAAATTGCCTTATTGTATTTTCTAATTAAACGAATGAGCGTGAGATTAAGAACACACCTCATAGTTAAGACTGAACAGTAATATTACATGCTATGGGTCATAGCGACTGCATCTATTACATTATACATTGTAATAATATGAAAGTCAATACCCTTGTCAGCTTCCTCATTCTGTGCCAAGCCCATCTACATCGGCGGAAATGAGCCGGAAGATGGAAATTACACATCCAGCGAAGCCAGGTTTCCTTGTACGACAAACTATAGCTGGCTATCCCTCCACCCCTTCCCGCAATGTGCTTAAGCCTCGTCAAGGAGCGTTCATTTTCAAACTCGGGCGAAACAACCGACGGCTGAACATCAGCCATCAAGTCTCACAAGTGCCGCAATGCTGTCCGGGGCAAGGCACACGAAATCAGAGAGATGTTGTTCTCTTCTTCTTTAAAAATGGTGAAAGGGCTCGCTTGGGTAAACACGCATCTGCCAAGAAAATATCTACAACGTATACATGAAGTCATGCTCGTGAGCAAATCATCCAGAATGCGCCCGATCTCACCAGATTCCCGGAAGTAAAGGAGGGTCACGTCTGGATAATGCTTAAGAGGGGGGGGGGGGGGGGGTTGACCAGCATGCATAAACTAAACTACTACTTCAGCATGTTTTATTGCTGTGGTTGTTCCACCCGATGAGGATTGCTTGTGTTGCCATCGAAACGTCGTGATTTATTTTATTTCTACCTACGTGACTTTACCGAAAGAACCAGAGAGTTATAAACTAAACTATTTTTTATTTTACTAGGGAAGGCCAACTGAGCTATACAGGTCTTTTTCAGAAGCGACCTGGCTACAACTGATAGTCCAATGAAGTGGCTTAGCATATGGAAATTTATAGCAGCCAAATATGCTCCAAACGTGTGTTTCTAAATGGGGAGGGAAAACCCGGAGGAACCGGAGAAAAATCCACGTGACCACAGGCAGAGAGAGAGACATGCAAACTCTAAATATACAGGCGTCAGGGTAGGATTTGAACTCATGACTTCCTTCTAGATTTGAAGCTTTCGTGACTGCAAGGATTCATACTCTTAGTTTTTTTCGGTAAAGTCACGTAGGTAAAACATTTTTAATTAATAAAAGTAAAATAAAACAAATTTAAAAATTCACGACGTTTTGGAAGCAACACAAGCCTCCGTCTTCAGGTGGAACCGTCACAGCCACGACAGCTGTATCAAGTAAATGAGAGATCACAAGAAATACTACCCCGTATATATAATGGTGACTTCCCATGACTTCCTGCCAACCCGGCGAGGTAGTTAACATCTCGCCATGGTGGAGAGATGTTAACGAGCGGGTGCTGTAGGACGCGGGCGGCGTGGTGGACGAGAGGGAGGTGCAGTAACAATCTGTTGCACTGTACTTCTGCGTTCCCGCTTATCAGCTCCCCATCTTCACCAATCAGCGCTGACCAGCTTGGTAAAGTATGGTGAAAAAACGCCCGCACAACTCGGCAAGGGGTGGCCCTCGTTCAGCAGTGGATTGCAAAAGGGGCTGTACATGAACATGTGGGAATACGCATGGGCTGTGCATGTACATATATATGCATACAAGTGGGAATACAGCACACCAGCAGTGGTTAGGAGTTGGCCACGAGACAAAACGCCAGGCCACAAAACAAGTACACGGATGAAGCAGACCAACAGCTTGCATTTCGACAGGAAACATGACAGGCAGTGCCTGGGTGTTTGGAAAATCCGAGTTGTGCAGGAATGCAAGATAATACAATAATAAATGTTGAGTTTTAAATCGTGTTGTTAATCAAATTGCATCTCTCATCACCGAGGAAGGAGAGACAAGCTGGATGACAGCCAGATGGAAAGCAGGCACTAACAACTGCCCAAGGTCTGCAGTCCTCTATATAAATGTTTTTAAACCAATTAATGAGTGTTTCTACATATGGAAGCAAACTGGAGCGCCCGCATGAAAGTGACGCGTGCGAGGGGGGACACTCCATCCCACACAGAAGGGACAGTATATATTAGCCTGCATTTTTCTGCACTGCTTTTTTCCGGCAAGCCAGGATATGGCTTCCTCGGCGCCCACGGGAAGGAAGTTTCGCAACATTTTCTGCGATCCGTCAACCCTCGCCTCTCCTCCACAGCGGCGAATATGCACGACCGCCCGCCACCTGCCACCCGCCATCCTTCTACATCCTCCGTCCTCCCAGCCAACATGCCCTTTCATATTGGCTGCCGGGTAGCCATTTGACCAGTTAAAAAAAAAATCCCTCCCCTTTCTCTATTCATTGGTAAGGTATTGGGTTCCATCCGGCTGAAGGGCCCACGCATTTGCTGACTCATGCTGGGTTCCTGCTCAATGGTTGCACTGCTCGGCCGAGGCTATATTCGCAGCACCGCTGGGCACTCAACGCCGAAGGCAAGGCAGACGAGGGGGCTCGGTTTGTGCAGGGAAAAGTTCTAACTTTTCAGCGAATGGCGTTCCACTGCTGAACGAGGGCCTGCCCCACACCTGTAGAGGTCGTGAGGGTTACTTGAGCATTCTTCACCACGCTTTGTCAGCGCGGGTTGGGGGAGATAGAGAAGCGTATATATGCTGGAGCACAGAACTACAGTACAACCTTATGTTTTGCTGGACTGCCCTTCCGCTGCCAAAGACGTCGCACCATAGAGTGCAGTAAACATGCAAATAACCTTAGTTTTTAAGTATTCTTTCCCAGTAGCAGTCTCAAACTCGGACACAATCAAATCTACAGGAGTTATTTACACATTTTTTTGCATTATTGCCACAATCTCATCGTGAAAATCCAACGGGGGCCACGTTGCAGACGGCGCTCTCCCCTGCCCACCCCCTCCCCCCCTCCGCCACCCGCCCTCACCCCCAATAGGCAAACAGGATCTGACTGCCCTTAAGCCTCCAACAGACAGGTAGGTTCCACCTGGCTCAGGCATTCCCCAGCGCACGCTACGCTCCACTTGAGAGTAAAACCAGTGGGTCTCTTTAAATGGAGCGTGCTGTGAAAGTGAGCGCAGCAGCAGCGCCCCAATAATAATGAATATCCTCTTTCCCCACAAATATTATCCCGAATGTGCTCTCCACGTCATGTCAGGATTCGAAGAATCCATTCCACAGAGCGGTGTGGTCCTTCGTGTTAAGAGTAGGGCCCACGGAAGTGCATATCGCAGAGCCTACTCGGAGATCGCTTCAAGGGACCTCTGGTTCACCTCATAGGGGGCAGCACACCCCCCCATCACCCTGCTCGTGAGAGTAATGTTCGTCGCCACATCGTTAATTCTAACCGTTTGCGCAAATATTTATTGACCGTACAGATTTGGAGGCCCATTTGTATTACATTACGGTTACAGAGAGATTAATCAATTTCATCGTATAGAATGTACTCATATGCTCACTGCAGATGCGTCCTATTGTGTGCGTAAGAATCTTTTTTTTTCAATTCATATGTATGGTTGGGGAGCGATGATGCCATTAACTTAGTAGAGGCCTAAGTTCGATACCGAGTTACGGCAAACGTAAGCAGCAGACAATACTTCACCACGCTGGTCTGCAGCGTGGTGAAGTATGGTCAAACAAGCGTCAATGACTCCGACAGCATGAAGAGGGCTTTTTCATCTGGTAATAGATCAACAAAGGGATCTGTAAATTGTTGTATTAATTTTCATCAGTTATTAATAAATATTGTACGCGATCGGTAATGTGTTTCATTGATTCCATACAGCAGAGACGACAGATATTACAAACGTCACAAGGGCAAAGAAGAATCTATTCTTGAGTGGAATCGTGAGCCTGAATCGAGACAATTCATCGAACCTTGGAAGGAGTACATCTTTACAAGGCTACTCTACGGGACAAACGTCTCCCCGGAGCAATGGAATGGATACTCACCTCGCTATAGAGTAAATGCACATGCATGCTCATGCCTACGGTAACGGAATCACGGCACAAGTGCAAGGGACCCAATAATCGCAGAGTTTGACGTCAACATCCCACGATTGGGCCTTCATAGCTTCTAAATGTTCCGGCAAAGCAGGTGTGCGCAAACATAAATGAGCCTATTTCATCGTTGCATCCAATGCATTTGCGATTCCGACACGGTGGAATTTCCCACGAGCTCACACTTAAATGGATGCCCTATGAAAAAGTATGCACTGTGTATAGCACGTGACTAAGCACCACGCATGTATTCTTGAGCAGTTGAAGCCAAAGCAAAACTTATGCGACGCAAATAAATGTTTTGTTACTTTAAACAAATTAAACCCTTATACATAGAGAGCATTGATATACATTTTAAATCATTGTAACCGACCAACGGTACAATGCAAGATTCATGTGGATGCACTGTTTGGTTAAACCCATTTTTGCGGCGTGCTTGACCTAATGAACCCCTTGTGAGCGAGAGAGACACCGAGCCAGTGAACTTGACTGCACGATCTCAGCGGCGTCAGCGTCTCAGAGACAGCCACCGTGAACCCAATGGCCGAGGACGTTCTATGATGTGCAGGTGCGTTAACAGCGTCGGGTATTAGCCAGGACCTCAGTGGTGCAGGCCCAATTTATCTGGCGGGGCCAATATCAAAACTCTGATGGTGATACACCCAGCAACTACGATTGAACTCGAAATCTGTGTGCTGCCAGCTGAGTTTTCGCTGACACAGCCATTGCGAACTCCCAGATAGAGAGGGTGAAACACACAGCCAGAGCGATTAAACCCATAATTCTAAGCGGTGCATTCGCAGCCACAGCAAAGCGACCGTTACGAATAAGACGCGACGGCTGCTTCTACGACTTGTGTGCACGCGTGAATAGGGCACTGTTGGTCAGCGCCGGTTCCCCACCTGTCTCCCGGCTGCACGCAGGCAGGGATGCAGTAGTTGAGTTCAAGACGCGCGATGTTTCCCAGCCGCAGCAGTATGCCGGCGCCGTACGAACAGCGCAGGCCGTCCGCCAGGCGCGCCAGCTGCGAGCGGGGTCCCTCTTCTGCGAGCAGAGAGAGGCAAGGGTCAGGAACCGTCCGGGTCAGGGTCAGGGTCGAGTGTTCGTTAAGTCTTCCACTGTGCCTTTTGGCGTCATCTGGTCCAACAACATGTGAGACTAGGCTCTAAGGAAAGCTGTCTCGGGTGTGGACCAATCACTTCAAGGACAGTGCATACATTATCAAAGTTATGTTTTTGTTTACATTATGACTGCAGGTTTTGTGGTCTATGTAAACATGACTCCTTGTAAAAAGGGTGTCAGTTTTGTTGCCAGATAAAAGGGTAAAAAAACAATTATCAAGTCTTCCACTGCTCGAACAAGCAACGACGTGGTGCTTGTCACCACTGAAGGCCTGTGCCGCCATCATCATCATCACCTTCATCACCTTCATCATCTCCGTCATAATCCACAATCACATGCATTAGAAACCTGGTCACTGACAATGACAATTACAAACAAAAGCTGATAGGTGCGCAAAGAAGCATTGGAATTAGAGTGAGAGATGGGTAAGGGAAATGATTGGTTAGAAAACATAGGCAAGTTAAAGACATCGTATTGAGTGATGCGTTTGAGCAGAACACATCATTCCATTCCAAGGGATGATAGGCATGGTCGGGACTATCGACAGAGCAGCAGCCAAACGATGGATCAGGCCCGAGAGCACACCCACTGCAAAATATGGAACAAAGGAATTGGCTTCAGCGCAGGAGCGACGGATTGTTACGTCGTGGGACCATGAGACGTGGCGATGGCTTGAGGAGGCCTTCATCCAGCAGCGGATGGATAATGCCTGATAATAATGAGCACAGGTGGTATGTGATCGTTTTATGTAAAACCCCGCAGCTGATAGAGATTCCAAAGCGCACCACGACGGCAAAAACAGAATCACGTCCCCAAATTGTAATAATTTGTGGAAAAAAGGAAAAGGGGGCTGGCAATTGTTAAATGGCTAATGATGATTACGCAAGAGGATCATCATCTTAGGAAGAGTCGCCAGGCAGGCAGGCTTGATTCCGCATGTCTCCGAGAGTCGCACGCTCGGACACAGCGCTGAATAAATCACCACGAGGAAAGGGGCGCTGGGGGGACACGGGGAGGCAGCGTGTGGCACGCAGGAAGCAACGCCTCCAGACGGCACAGTGCGGCCGGCGGAAGCAGGGAGGAAGGAGCAGTGCGATGGTGGCGGTGATGGTGGTGGTGACGGGGGAGGGGCAGGGCGAGCAGTGAGATTTCAAAGGCATGTGTACAAAAGAAAACTGGGCTCCCTGTAACAGACCTCAAAAAAAAGTTATGAAGTTGAAAACATGCTTCACGCAAATTTGGCACTCAAACTCATTCATCCATTAAAAACAACAACTAAATTAGCAAACGAACCAGGGATAAAAGGGGGATCGCCGGTACCTCCACCACAAACGGCTGCGCTGGGCGGCTTGGGAAAATTATTATTTTTGTTCCACCCACATCCCCTGACTCCCAGCTCCACACCCACACCAGTCCCCCCCCCCGCTTCCCCTGAAAAGCCCCGGGCTGGGAGGAAACAGTTTCCCACACGCTCTCAGAGGCTTTCCCACAGCTTCCCACCACCACCACCACTGGCGCTTTACTTCCACGCGCCTACGAACAGGCAGTCTCACGAACCCGCAGGCCAAAATTGTCGGCCCCCGCTAATGCCGCGTCTGTTATGGTTGCTGCGTTTGCTGCTGCTGCTGCTGCAAAGTACTAATCCTGCTGCTGTTGCTTCCTCCTAATGCGGACCGCACTGTGAGTGGTCTAGTAAATGACTGCACCGTGCACAATCAAATAAATGTAATGGCTCCTTTGTCAATCCACCGCTGGATGAAGGGCTTCCCCCCCACCCCCCCATGCCGTGCAGGTCATCGGGGGTTATTCGAGAGCACCTGGCGGGTTTGTCAGCGCGGGCTGTTGAAGGTGGGGAAGCATAAACGGGGGTGCACATGAGTACGGTACAACAACTGATTTTGTTGCACTGCCCTTCCGCTGCCCACCACGGAGCCTTGCAGCAGGTTGCCCATCCACACGCTATCCAGGCTCAACCTGCTGAGCCTCCTAGTGTTTACGAATGCACCCGGGATTTTTTTCAACTTGACCTTCCCATGATGTTTTTTTTCCTGTTTTCTACATTACACTGCTAAGCCAAACACGGCCCTTTCGGAAATTCTGCAGTAATCATCATCAACCATGGTCAATCACTCACGGCTGTGCAAAGTAACGATCCACCTAGCACCTGCAAGCGAGCCAATTCAACACTCCATCTCTCCAAACCGGACGTCCTCTCAGGAGCGCTCCCGTCGTTAGTTGACCACTAGCCGTGAAAATTGTTTACGGTCAAAATGATATCTTAAACCGTCGGTATTTATATTTGAAAAAATCAAGCAAGCAGAAGTGGGTTCATAATTTATCTCTTTGCAACTGTCTTCAAGGGAAGTCACATGTTGAACAAGATTTCAAAAGTTCTGCCTCGGCGTCTAGGGGTATTGTACGACACCGTTTTAGTGTCACGTGCCCTGCAAACTCCAGTAGAGGACAGAGCGTCCCGATGTCGATTCTAAGAATAAAACAAATCCCGGGGAATTCGTGGATTTCACTCATTTTACCAGAAATACTTTTAATGACACGGTTCCCGCACCAACCCCCACCCGTGCCGCCTCGGCCATGAAACGCTGGGGCAATGTTCGAGAATTCATCACTGGCAAATGTCATCAGCAACGCATTTTCTAAGGGCAACTATGGCAACTTGGTACGGCAATGGCATTGAGTGGCGAAGTCCGTCAAGCCAACGAAAACAGTTTTTTTTTTAAGCCTTACTGATGAGCAGTGATTAGGTTTCCAAAGCATACAACTTCAGGAAGCCACGTGACCTATGTCTGTAATCCAATTGGAAGCTGCCATTCCAGTTGCTTGTTAAGAGCAGAGGTGGGAAAGCCTACGTCAGTCCCGTGACTTTACTTCACGAGGCCCCGCAGCAACACTGAGGCCTACCACTTCAAAATTACACGCAAACGATATTTATCCATCACTGAAAAGGAACTTGGCAACACTACTGGGGTGCTAGAGCTGAATGTTTTTGACCTGGACTACTTCTAATGTGCGCACGACCATCCACGTGTGTAAGTGCACAGGTCTGCTGCTGTGATGTAAGTGGTCGAGGTGTGTTAATGTGTATCCCCGCCAATGGTATGTGAAAGTCCTTTTTGGGCAACTCAATTTGAAAAGGTTCATCTTCCCCCAAACATGAAAACATATATATATATATATACACAATAGGTGACGTTTCAGGCAATGGTCCTTCTTCACAGCAGAGGGATAACTGATGTGTGTCTGTACACCACTGCCAAGGCAGTATCACAAAGACTTGGATTTTTTTTTGGATTTAAAGATTTCATGACTGCTGGGATTCATATTCTTGGTTCTTTCGGTAAAGTCACGTAGAAAGGAAATAATGAAATATAAATAAAACAATTAAATTCTCACGACGTTTCGATTGCAACAGAAGAAATCGTCACCAGGTGTGAAACCCACAGCAAGAAATTTCTTGAAAAAAGTGGCGTTTTTTTCAAAATTTCTTGCTGTGGTTTTCACACCTGATGACGATTGCTTGTGTTGCAATCGAAACGTCGTGATAATTGTATTGTTTTATTTTTATCATTCTACGTGACTTTACCGAAAGAACCAAGAATACAAAGACTTTGGTTAACATTCGTTTACATTTGGTGAAATCTTTTATTTATTATTTAAATGTGAGCGGCAGCTATTCACCCCAATGTGTCGTGGGGCTTCACGAGAGTGCCTCTTATTTACAGCAGCGCTGACGAATGGGGTCTCACTCTCCCCTCCCCGAGGGGACTTTGCGATTGGCAATCGCGGCACCAGCAGAGGGGGCAGCAAAAAGAGATTCGAGTGGGGGGGGACTCCCCCCCCAAACCCCCCCCCAACCTCTCGGGACCTGCCCCCCCCCCATCAATGATCACACGAGTGCCTCTTGCGCTGCACGATTCTCTCTCCAGCCCCCCCCCCCCCCCCAGATCCTGAGGCCATCGGCACTGCCGCTGTCACTGCCGTCACAGAGACCAGCCCCGTGTTTGTGGAGCTTCAGACCAAATAAATAAGCAGTGCTCAAAAATACCTCTCTCCGGCTGGACTGACAGCTTGTTTAATTTGGAAGTTGTGCAACGTTGTATTAATGACATATACATAGCAAACCGCAGACGTGTATTTTTTTTTTTCCAAAAGCGGAAAAAATCCGTTTTTTTTGTAATTTTTGTAAATCTTAGAAAAACTAAAACACCTTTCTATCAGCCTAATCCTATCGTGGTGTAATGGTTAGCACACTGGACTTGCAAATCTTGAGGTCGCTGGTGAGATTTAATCTCCCCGAGTGTCAGTTGAAAGAATGGGACAGTTTATTAAACTATCCCCGCCTCTGTCACAGCATAACTGGGTGCACCACAATCAGTTTACTCAGTAGGCTGCTTGTGGTGGGGTAAACCGTGGATGCTCCCACCTCATCCAGAACGTCTGGCCAGAGTGGAAGTGGAGGCCAAAACTATCCTCCAGAGGGAGCTCTCTAAAGCTCCCCTCTAGCGGAGGGCCCTTCTGCCAGCAGTGGCGTGAGCAAGACATTGCAGGGTTGCGCATTTACCTTAACACAATAGATTTTAACACGTTCAATGCAATACACTGAGAGCCGTTTAATCAACCTATCTGACAACACACTGAAATATAAAGGTTATTTTGTAGAAGACACCTGTATGACTGCAAGGACAAAAACGCCCTGTATAGCCTTAACAGACTGTGTAACTGCAAAGATCCCCCATACAGCCTTCAGACTGTTGGGGCAAGTGCTGTTAGGGAGCACCGATGAAGGCCGGCAGGGTACATGAGCGGGTGGATAGCCAGCACCACGCCCGACCGCCTTTGTCTCCCCAGTGGCGATATTTACACATCGCAAAAGGTACTTATTTGAGGCCGAGTGTACCTAGGAGAGGCCCAGGACAGGTGTCGACTGTGAGCAGGGAATCGAACCCGGGTCGCGCGTTTCGTAGCTCGGCGCGCTACCCACACGCACACAGTCGCATGCCAGTTGTCGGACAACTCTGGGTTCCTCTTTTCAACCCAACACTTGACATTTCCTGGAAGCTGCAAAACCAGTTGTGTTCCGCAAAGCTTCCAACGAACACAGGCAGGCAGGAGGGAAAAAAAAAGACTCCTTCGTAAATGAATATACTTCCTGCACAAAGGATCCAGGATGTGGCTTCATGGACCAATTTCTCTGTTGTGCAGGACTTGGTTGTTGTTTTGTGCCATTTTATTGTACCATTTCTCAATTTGTTTATTCATTTTTATTTTATGAGGGTTTTCATTCACTTGGCAGTTGCTATCAAGAGGCTTTGGCCCTCGCATGTAATTAGTTTACAGCAGCATTGTGGGATGCAACAAGCATGAATGACACGATATAAAATTAAATAATGATTACATCCAGCGGCATTATCGGTAAATGACGTGGGCCATGTGTTGGTCTCCGCCCGGCTCCGTTAAACAAACTCAGACCCGGCAGAGTGTGGATGTTTCCAAGAGTAAAAAAACAAGTCGTACGCCGATTTGAATCTCATTTGAATCGGGCGATAACTCACAGGACAGTAAGGGGTTGGAAATCATAAGGAAATAAAAGTGTGCGTACGTACACAAGATACTTTCGGTATGCACGCGCATACACCGACGACTTCCCTCTATAGAAATGCCCCGTGACCAAACGGCGCGGAATGCGCCCTTGGTTGTCAGATCTCGGAAGTTAAGTGCAGTTTGAGGCCTGGATCGTGCGTGGACGGGCGACTGGCCACGCTCGCTAGGTTGTCTTCGGGCTATGTTACGCTGTCAGCAGCAGAAAGCAAATTCCAACAAAACTGACTGTGGTACTGTGCAACTAGGCTATTCTACGTTGCACTTCCGAACCTGGCGACCCGCGTTCGATTCCCGCTCATCAGTGACGATTATCTGACCCGCTCACGGGCCTCCCCGAGGTCGACTCAGCCTCAAATGAGGACCTGGTGCGGTGCGTAAACATCGCCACTAGGGAGACAAAGGCGGCCAGGGGTGGTGTTGGCCATCCACCCCCTCGTGTGCCGTGCCGGCCTTCATAGGTGCTCGCTAACAGCACGCGTCCCAACAGTCTGCTAAGGCAATACGGGGGATCTTTGGCTATGCTACCACATCCACCTACATCAAAGCACAATAACCAGCGTAGTGAAGTGTGGTCATATAATCATTCCCCCCGCCCCCCAGCCCCTATCATGAACCGCACGGGCGTACGGAGGCCCTCATCCAGCAGTGGATTGATAAAAACGGGTGTTTTTGTACATAAACATCGAGATGAGCACACACAGCTACGCACTGCTGCACGCACAGCTACAGGTGATGGCTTTGACTCTGGGTAACGAGTTAAAACCTGTGGGGAGCCTCTGAGAAAATGTGGGGCCTTTTTAAACTTAAGTGGGCCAGCTTCTCGAGTTGGCCAAGGCGCATCGTTCCGGTATGTATGTTGCCCCATCGTTGACGATGGAGTCGCCGCAAATTTCCGCGAATGGTGAAAACTAACATTCGTCGAGATGCGAATCTGGCCCAATTTGTGTTTTTTGGGATCAAGCGTTTGAACTCTGGCAGCTGCCCTCGTGAGCGCCCACAGTCGCGTTGTTGATGTTATCCAATGAACTGTGTAGTTCAATGTTGAATCCAGAAGCTGCCGCCCCCCCCGGTTATCACCGCAGGTGTAACAACCATCGTAACACTACGCGGCGTGCACTTCACAGTGGAAGGTAAAGAGATCCCGTGATGGAAGTCGCAAAAAGCGGTGTGGAGGTGCGTCAAGGTCCATCTTTGCCAAATAAAAAAAAAATCACCGCAAATTTACTCAATTGGGATTACATATAGCAATCATCCCATTTGCAGGCCACATGCTGAGTAACCTTGTGCTACACGGGGAAAACTGCCCTTTCAAATGTTTGAGATGTACCAAATAAGACTTTAAACAGAATATTGGCACCACTTACCTCTCTTTTCAGAGGTGTAGGTATATACTTGCATACATGTGCCGAACGCAATAATATATCGTGTACACACACTGCTACGTAAATGCGTACCATCAATGAAACGACCGACACCGGAATTGCACCATTAACCCCAACAGCAACCGGTTTCACTGTGCGGCAAAGGAAACCACAGTGCATAACGACCCTCTCGAACGCCGCTTGTTTTTCACCGATGTCAAGACAACCGAGAGAGAGTGAGTTGCTGTGTCGCGGCCGTTAGCCAATGCCAAGACCGCGATAAAAATCGCTCGCTCGCCCGCGCGTCAAAAAAGCCACCGCGAGGGGCGTGTGCGGCAACATGGACGATAATTGACTTTGACTCATCTTTCCCGGGTGGGTTTTTGGGTCTTCCGCGCCCCTTACCTTTTTTTTGTGTTTAACCGTTTAGCTATTTGGCGGCAAAAACTGTCGTTGCTATGCTCTCCTTTCCGCCAACAAATATCTGGTGAAGCCAAGCGTGTTGTCCGCCACTCCCTTTCCTTCTGCCGTGGCTACACACCGACCCAGCTCAGTGGCACTTCCCCCTCAACGGCTTGTGCGTGCGTGTACACGCACAGCCCCTTCTTTTGTCAATCCACTGCTGGATGAGACCCTACACCCACGCCGTGCAGGTCTCAGGGCGGAAGTAGGTAGGGGAGGGGAAGGGGAGGGAAGACATTTTGACCGGGGAGCATAGAAGTACAGTACAACTGACTTTGCTGCACTGCCTTCATCTGTTAGTGAATGGTCAGCAGCCCGATCCAAGCACTGCACAGGCTCAACTTTGCTTATCTTCTGAGATTTGACTGGATCTGGTGCATTATGGGTAATTAGTCATGGGCGTACACTGCGAGTCAATTGAACGACGGTAGCGAGAACATCGGATGTGCACTAGACTGGTGTCAACATGAGTCTCCCTGTTAAAGTCACGGCACGCAGGAGCGGTCATGCACATAACTGGCTTTGCATAGTGTGCTCAACTCTTATTGCACAACAGCTAACAAGCTTGGTACTTCGGCTGAAAAGGAAATGCGGCTGTGGGGTCATACACATCACCAGGGAAGTGCACTCCTCAATAGTTCACAAAGTGGGAGTGCAGCAATCATTTGATCAACTCCAAAAGTGGTGCCAATGGAACTAACAGTGGTGTAAAGCTTCACTACCCTCACAATGTTATGAAAAAGTGGCAAATCAAGAAATTGTCATTTATTTCACTTTCCTGGCTCTAAGCAGCAATCCTCGCGCTCGGCTCTCACCGTAGTTGAGGTTGCACAGGTTTCCGGCGTTGAGGAAGAAGTGCGCGTGGAAGAGGTCCCCGAAGCCTCCGTGGCCGGGCCGGAACGGCAGCGGCGTGTACAGGTGCAGGCCGGCCGCCCAGTAGGCCTCACCGCCCAGGTAGTCCCCTGCCGCGCGTACAACACAAGACGCAAGAGGATTACACCGCCCGTCAGCATCTCAACGCGGAGATTCATATCGGCCGACTGACCGACCGCCGTTCGTGTCGCGGCACCCAGACTGGGCCTGTGTGCGCGGCTGCAGCTGAGGTGCAGCGTTGACACCACTGCCAGCAGCTACTGTGGCAAGGCATTTAGAAACATGCATTGATGTCATTTACATTATTTTGCTGATTATAAATCTCCACGTGATAAGCCACTTTGCTGAGCTATGATTTGTGGCCAGGTCGCTTCTGAAAAATAAGTTAATACCTCAGTGGGCTTTACCTGGTAAGATAACAAATAATTGAGCTTTATATATTTTAAAAGCGATTTGTTTACCTTTCCTATACTTTGCACTCCTATCGTGTTGTTGTACTGTTGTTGTCACGTTCTTACCCGTCCTCTACTGGGCAACTGTTAAAAAGAGCTTCATAGCTCATCGGATTTCTCCAAAATAAATAAATATTCAGATTCTGATTGTGAAGTGCTGGTCGAGCGAGCCGCATTCTGACAGTAAAAAACGTCATTCATTTGCCTACTTTGAAAATGCCTCGCAAATTACCTAATTGTTTAACACCGCATAGCAACAACACACCCACTGTGAAACCTCTCCAGACTGTAAACGCGTCTGTGAAACACAGTGCCTTTGTGACAGCCTTGCACTGTAAGAATGGCACAGATGCCAAAAGCACTGGATTTTATTTGAATTTGTTTGATATTATTTGCTGCATGAAGCAGATTTCTGAACTCATAATCAATTTAAACGTCGGTTTGTGATAATATAAAAATAATATATCAGCTATTTTATCTTAAAAGTAATAACAATGCATTTATTTAACCTGAAAATCCTAGCTTAGTATCAGCACTGCCACATTCTGACCACTCGCAGCCTCACACTTACAGCACCTGGCAAGCCCTGGCAGTCACCCAATCAAGAACTAAAAAACGTACCCGTAAAAACAAAGTTTTTCACTATAAATCCTTTATATGCGTGGCGGCTAGAGTCCTCTCGTCCTCTGGCTTGAGATGGCTGCCACCTATGGGTCAGATGATTGCCTGCCACCATTAAGCAATTGGTAATTAAATATAAAAAAAAAATTCCTAAAAAGTGTAAAGTTATGGAAAAATAATTTTCACGAAAATAAATTGTCACGCACAACGAGTCTGTGTGCAAAATGTCAGCTCGATTGGATCACGGGAAGTGGGTTAAAAAACGACCGAAAGATTTGCACGGTCGTAAGCGCGCAAGCAAGCAAGCAAGTGAACTTAATATAAAGGATTTAAAAAGGCCGCTTAACATCTCCGCTTAACTTCTGAGATCACATGCAAGTCATATTTTGAGCGTGAATTGCTTGCAAGAATTTCACTATAGGCATCTGAAAAAAATCACTTCCCTTGCGATCGAATAAATTTCCATGATTTCAGTTCACAGGATGTGTATTCGAAAATTTATTTTTGCTTTGCCGCAGTTGCGGATGCAAAACCTCGTGAACCAAATAAACATATAATGTTCACTTTTCAAATGGCCAATTCACACGTGGACGATTCAACGCATGCATCATGAGCGTAATAGATGATTATGGTAATGAATCGATGCACCATTACATGGCTAACATACAGTGATACACGGTCCTAGAACCAATGTGTGTACAACTACACAGGTTAACAATGTAGTCAAGTTTTGCAGTCAATAAAAATACGGAAATTCTAAATGTCAAAAAAAAAACCCCCGTAGAACCAGGAAAAGCCACTGATGACCGACCCTCGTATAAATATGGACTTCGTGGTACTCATGATTTCTGTGAACTCTGATACGTTCCATGAAAGATTACTCACTTAGTAGGTTTCACAGTTCCGGCGAGAAAAAATAATAATTGCGTGACAAAACAACAACAACGAAAAACCCCATTCCAGGAACAAAAAGGAAGCAGCAAAGCGTGTTCGCAGTTACCACACCGCGTGTCGAGATGACCGGTAACTCATGTAAATGAGGTGTAAACTCCATTTATCTAAGACAAGAACATTTGTGCTCATGACTGCAGCCCATGGAACAACGTTAATTGTTAGTTTTTTTTGCCAAGTGAATCCCCGCTGGTGATGCATGTACCTGCCAACGTCATTCCCGTATTTAAATACATTGCTACGGCACACACAGCTGAGATCCCGGGTTCAAATCCACGCAGTTGCCTGTGATTCTTAAACCGAGTTCTCAAGTCTCGTGAGATGACGGTCTAAGTCAGGTCATTAAGCAACCACACAGTGAATCAATCAAACTCCATGGGCAGAAAGCCCATAGGTGTCCACTGCAATGTTTGTCACTTGTTTTCACTTGCCTCGATCCTGTGCCAACATGCTGAGGCTATGCACATCTCTCTGGCACCAATATCATCCAGCCATTCTTCACAGGCTCTTCCCCTTTTTCCAGTTCCCTCCATTATTCCCATCATTACAGTGTTTATTTTCCTGTTGTTCTCCATCCACAAGCTCAGTTTCATTCTCACGCAAAAAATACAACTGCATTAAATTTGTTTTGGCTCTTAACTTAGCTACATTCCAGCTCTTGAGAATTAAAATCTGGGTGCGATTGTCATTGTGAAGAACCTTCCTCTCCATAGCAGGGTGGGTGAATCAGTGCTACTGTGTGGAGCAGAGGTCAACTACGATCTCAACGGTAGTTCTATACAATCTGCTTCCGAGGACCGTTCTCTAACATGATGGGTTGTGTGCTGCTCTGCGAGACATCCAAATGAATGCTTCATCTGAAGATGTGACACCGATGTTTACCGTTGGCATAAATTTGTGGAAAAATAAAATAAAAATTACATTGGGGTAGTGACATCACATGGACGCTGCTAACTGATGCTTTTAAAGTATTTTTTTTCTGATATACAAAGCTTCACACTTGTGTAGGACGGCCCAGGACAAAATATACAAAGCAGGTAAGCAGGCAGCCCACTATGGGTGGAGATTTCACTTTACCCCCCTTCCCTGCTTCCTCCTCGCCCACTCACCTTCACTCTGGGGGCCAATGCTGTACATGCTGAATCCTCGAACGGTGGTGGCGCCTCCCAGGAAATACCTGCAAAGCGCAGACGTAGCAAAAACCGCAAAGAGGTTGCGTGCGTGTGCGCGCGTGCACATGTACACACACCGCGCGCGCGCACATGCACATACGCACCCACCCACACACCCACGCAAATCCTGACCGCTGCTGTTCTCTGTGAGGTGGCGGTGATGTCAGTGACGGTGCGAGCACCGCACCTTGTTAGCAGTATCCAAGCATGCAGAGCCTCGCTCACGCAGAAAAAGATCCCCCGTGTAGACTACAGAGACTGTTGGGGCAAGAGCCGTCAGTGAGCTCCTAAGAAGGCTGGCACCGTGCGCAAGCAGGTGGTGTGGTCACAAACACACCCGGCCATCTTTGTCTCCCCAGTATGCGATGTTAACACACCAACCCAGGTACTTAATTGAAGGTTGAGTCGTCCCTGGGAAGGCCCGGGACTGGTTCTGATATTGCCCGACACGGATGTTAGCAGTAGCCAGGAATCGAACTCAGGGCAATGCACTGTATGTTCAACTTCTTTCGCACCGTACGTAGCCAACCGTGCTAATCGGAGGTGCTACTATCTACTACACTACCGCTTCCTACCGCTTCCCCCCAGATGACACGTGCATACACACATAACTCACGACAACAGCGTTAGTTGGCATTCACTACACAGTGGTGGTGGTGCCACCACCACACTTTTATGAGATTTGGAGGACTGGGAGCATTGGAGTGGTGAAAATACAAAGAGAGATTTAATAGGCATGTAATGATGCATCGATACATTTTGTAACATACATTCACAATACATGCATAAAAGAGTGTGAATTAAACAATTTTTAAAATTTTGAATATGTAATTACTTGGAGCGGTGGTGCAGTGGTTAGCACACTGCACTATGAACCCAGCGATCCGAGTTTGACTTTCAGCTATTGCGAAACTGGTGCGCCGCGGGGGTGAGATGGTATTTCTCACATCTGGTATGGAGGAGGTTGTGGGTTTGATCCCGACCTTGATGCCTGTTGTATATTTGGAGTTTGCGTATTCCCCCCGTTGTTGCGTGGAGTTTTCTCCGGGTCCTCCGGTTTTTCCCTCCACGTTTAGAAATACGCATTGACAATATTTGGCCGAGATAAATTTCCACGTGATAAGTCACTTCTCGTTCAGCGATCATTTGTGGCCAGGTCGCTTCTGAAAAAGAGCTACGTAGCTCAGTGGGCTTCACCTGGTCGTTAAGTTTATAGTTTAACGTCAGTGGCAAGTGATATTTGAACTGGTCCGGGGCCTTATCCCCCTTCACCTACACACCAAGAGGTGCATCGCGAAGGCCCAAAAGATCATCGCCGATTACAGTCACCCGGGGCCATGGCCTTTTCATCAGGAAACAATCCAAGAGGAAGCCCGGCTACATCAGCATTGCGGCTACCACAAACCCCCTCAGGGACAGCTCCTAACCCCAGGCCATCCGGATGCTGAGCTGAGCAGAGCCCCGTGCAATATCTGCCCAAGCCCCACCAACCCGGAATTTGCTCTTCCATACTCCCGTTCACACCCCCTCTCCCACCCCCACCGACTACACTAGAAATTAACCAAACAAAAACATAATTTATAATTTATAAAGCTCACCCGCAGGGGACCCTATTTCTGGTATGCACATGTCACTTTTATCATCTGCACAGCGATTTGACTTAGTTTTAAAGACATTTTTAAAATATATTTTAATATATTGTTGCTGCTATTTACATTTCTGTTGTTAATTTGCGCAAGCTGAGAGCGCGACACGGGAACAAAGAATCTCACTGCCATGTACCTCATGTACGCATGTGTTTGTGATCAATAAAGCGAACTTGACTTAACCAACCCACACTGACTATCATGATAAAGTATTGTCAAAACACGTTCCTTCGGAGTGGGCAGGTAGGAACTTGGTTGGACAGTGCACGACAGAAAGCTCGCGGTCACGTGACGCACTTCAACCAATCCGGGAGCGTACATGTTTGGGAGGGGCTATGCACGACAGACAAATAATCCCTGGAGGGCAGTGTGGAACTGTTGTTCCTACTTGTATAAGCCTGACAACTGGCAAAGCATGGGGATGCATTCATCCAGCAGTGGATTGACAAAGGGATGCAGATAATCATCTGCATCCGTTTGTTTAGATGAAGCAACAATCATAATTGTTTATAATTGTTATATGAAGCAACAATAATAATTGTTAAATTTCGATTTAAAGCTTTCGCGACTGCAGGGATTCATCTTCTTGGTTCTTTCGGTAAAGTCACGTAGAAGGGAAATAATACAATAATAAAAATAAAACATAATAAAATACAAAATAAAACATAATAAAATACAATTGTATTTTATTATGTTTCATTTTTATTATTTTATAGATTGTATTTTATGTTTAATTTTTATTATTTTATTATTTCCCTTCTACGTGACTTTACCGAAAGAACCAATAAGAATTATAATTGTTGCTTGATATAAACTCTGCAGTCACCATAAATGCAACACTCACAACAATAGATAAACAGAATCCATTCTTTAATGGATTCACTACCCCACATCACGACCATTCATCAAAGCACATAGAGGGACATTTTTTTTTACATGGGTGAGATATAAAACACACGCACGTGCAAAAAGTGGGGTATTCAGAGAATGTTACTCAATTCGGTAAGACTGCAAAAGCTTTGGGCTGTGGGTGTGGCATCGAAGAGAGACAATCGGTGGGATGAAGAGAGGAATGCAGAAGTTCTAGAGCAGGCTCAGGAGGAGAGACGTCTAATTAAGACAATCAAAAAAAAGGCTAAAGATGTGGATTGGACACATTCTCAGAGTCGAATGCTTGATTGAAGGGAGTTCTAGAAGGCCCAGAGGGATGTTAGGAAAGAGGCCGAGAGACGGAAAAAATAATATTGCTGCTTGACAACTTGAACAACTGGTAGTGGAACTGGTATTTTTTTTTACCAGCTAAGGCCTTAAAAAGCTCTTTTTAGAAGCAACCTGGCCACAAATGATAGCTCAACGAAGTGGCTTATCACGTGGAAATTTAAAGCAGCAGCAGCCAAATACTCTAAACGCACGTTAATTCGAAATGTGGAGGGAAAAACCGCAGGACCTGCAGAAAAATCCGCGCAACCACAGGGTAGAGACATGCAAACTCCAAATATACAGGCATCAGGGTCAGGATCGAACCCACAACCTCCTGTGTACCGGGCGAGGTGACGGGAAGGCGGGAGACCACGCAGGGAAACGAAGAAAAGCTCACGATCGGATAGGACGGCGGACGTTGATGCCAAACACCTCCTCAAGAAGAACACTGCGGTTGGAGCGACGGTTAAAAGTCACCACAGCAGACCCCGACACAAGAGGGGTCTCTTCCTACTGTTAATGCATTCGTTTTATTGTTGGCTATAAAGCGCACGTCCAGGGGGTGACTCGCTGCGCGTGCTGGGGTTGTCGGCCCGCATCAAGATGGAAACGCAATGTGTAGAACCGCACCTCCGACGAGTACGGTTGGGTACGTAAGGTGCGAAAGAAGTTCAACGTACATACACACATCAAGGGCTTCATCATGCATGAGTTTGGAGCATAGTGCCGATTTTCCTATCGTTACATCGACCCGCTCGGTTTTTTTTTTTCACGATGAAGATGGCAGCAAATGAAAATCACATTTGTTTTTGTAAGTGTTATTCATTAGTGAAACTTTTCACCCGGATAAATCTTTGAGATGCAACATATGGGTCGCAAGTGTCCAGGTCGTCAATTGACACTGCTTGGCAAACGAGTAATGATACGTGATATACAAACAATTTAAATCCATAACTTATATGACTGGGCAAGGCTGTGGAAGCAGAAATAAAGAGCACGGGAGGAAGTGTAATGACTGTGGATCCATCAGTGAATAATGCAACGCAATCTCGGGATCGCCGACTTAAGTGGGTTGTCGTTGCTTTTTAACAACTCAGATTAGCAGCAAAATGCATCGGCAAGTGGCATAAAAACAACTTCCCAAGAAGCCACCAACTATAATCACAATGTTTTTGTCTCAATAACGCCAACCCACAAATGTCTTGTCCCAATATAACCTTTTTTCATAAGCCAGCTGTAGGGGGTGAGAATAAACAAAATATAAGCCAAGAAACGACTGGACGCTCACACACACGCACACCACACGTGCACGCCTAACACATGCCACAATTACACGACACGTACACACACACCACACGTACACGCCACACATACACACCACACGTACACGCCACACGTACACGCCACACGTACACGCCACACATACCCGCCACACATACACGCCACACGTACACGCCACACATACACACCACACAAACACACCACACGTACACGCCACACGTACACACACACCACACGTACACACACACCACACGCCACACGTACACACACACCACACGCCACACGTACACACACACCACACATACCCGCTACACATACCCGCCACGCATACACACCACACGTACACGCCACACATACACACCACACGTACACGCCACACATACACGCCACACATACACACCACACGTACACGCCACACATACACGCCACACGGACTCTTCTTCCGCTGCCTCGAACGTCAACCGAGGGGTCCCGAGGTGAGGTGGCAGTAATGGCTGTTTTTTTTATAACATTTTGGCCGCCCTTAGTTCCTGGCCTGGCCTGAGATGAAACGGCAGTGAAAGCCCATTGCCTGCACCCCCCACCACTCATGCCCTCCCGAGCGCCCCCCCCCCGCCCCGTTTTCTTCTCCTTGCAGGTCTGCTTGCCAGGTTTTATCTGCCGGCCAGATATATATAAAAAACACTGTTGTCGAAGAAAGCTTTCATCTCCTGCCATGCTTCTACCCCTCAATTCCCTCACTTTTTCCTCTCGTGCCGAGGGTTTTGCGAGATCACAGACGATCTGTAACAGCGGGGGGGGGAGGTGGGGGGGTAGGCAACTGCTAACGGTTTTTGACATCTCGCGTTGTTGTCACTCGCTTTAGTTTCTGCATCGAC